GTGTTTTTATATTGTCTATTTTGTAACTGTGATAAGACACAATAAATGTTAAATTCTTTTTCATTGTAGCATTTTCAATTTCATTGATTCTTTTGAGTATATTGAAACCTCCTTGTATAAAAAAATATATTAAAAACTCCTTATATATTTTTAAAAAATGAAACGAAGAATTTTTCCGTGTTGTTAGTTCGTATCTTTCAAAGTACCCAAAAGTGTTTCGTCGCCGAGTAATAAAACCATTTGAGAGTTGTTTATTTTACTTCGGTAATTTCTTTTCAAGTTTATGCGTCGCAAAAGGATATGTACGCCGTTTCGTTAATTTTGCTATGTCAAGTGTTTGTTTATTTTCAAGTTATGCGATCAATTTTAATAGATAATTTCGTCACTCTCGTTGGAGCAGCGTTCAAGCGTGGTTCAGCGTTATGTCCAAATTCATGTCGAGTTTGTAAAATTTTCTGTTTTTTCGTTGATTGTGGTGGAAATGGGTAGCAGTAGTGATGGATTTTGTCCAGTATGAAGTGACCGGCATTAATTTGGATCCGGCCCCCAATGGATGTCCTATTCCTGTTTCGGTCCCAAATGGATGTGTTTGCTGCTGATCTCCGGATGGATGCTACAGAGATATGACAAGTTCTTTTTGTGAAGCGGAAATATGTAAATCAAGGTAACTGTTTTTTTTTGTGTTCAAATTTTAAACTAAAGACAGACAATTTTTTATGAAATAATAATTGCTTTCGTTACATTTAAAATTGTAAATTTTTGGTTTTGAGTTGAGCTGTCAATTTATGTGTTTAGTTTTTTGAAATTTAATGTTAATTTATGACAGCTCGTTTTATTATTTTTTGATTTTACTTTGTTTTGTTAAAAAAAAAGGTTAACCTCCATGCAAATTTGTAAGTTTTGTAGCAACAGAGTTTGTAAGCGGATGACACGTAAGTTTTGTATTTTGTATTTCTCCATTTTGTAACTGTTTGTGGTGACACATAAATAAAGGTTAAATTTTGTTGTCTTAACTTTTTGTTTATTTTTTTTTGAGCTAACCCTTTTTTGATTTTTTTTTGAAAAAGATATATTTTTGTTGTTGTATAATTATTTCCTAGTTACAACTAGTGGTTATAATAGGCATAATTAGGCACCTCAAGTGGCGCCCTATATTAAATTCCTTGAGGTGTTTCTTGTTTATTTTTATTTTATTTATCCCAAGAGCCCTTTATTTCATTTTTTGTAGTTGCCCCATTCCAATGCCCTTATCTTTTACTTATCCACGACCCCAGCTCTCCTACGAAACCCTGAGTGCCGTTCGCATCAGTAGCGAATATTTTGCTTGCCCTATCTCCCCCCCAATAGTTTTTTCCCCCAATTTTCTATCTCCCGTATTAATGCCCCATGTGGTAGGCAAAATATATCGTTACATCCTAACATTTTGTTTATTTTGTAACTAACCTTTTTTTGTGAGCTTTGTTTGAAAAAAAAAATGTTTTGCATTTTTAATAATTATTTCCCTAGTTACAACTAGCTGTTGTAATGGTTATAATTAGGCACCTCGAAATGGCGTCCCTTTTAAATTACTAGAGGTGTTTCCTGTTCTTTTTGTTTTGTTTGTCTCAACAGTTTCATGACCTTTTGTTTCATATTTTTGTAGTTGCCCCAATCCAACCCCTTTTAGTTATTTACTTATCCACGACCCCAGCTCTCCTAACAAACTCTAAGTGCCGTTCGCATATGTTTCGATTATTTTGCTTGCCCTATCTCCACCCCCAGTAGTTTCTGTCCCCAATTTTCTACCCCTTATATTAATACCCCTATGGTAAGCTAAATATTATCGTTACAAGTTGGATTACTTAAGGCTGATGGGGAAGAAAATTTCATTTACCCACATAATACATATTAATAAGGCGCAAAAAGTATTCACTTCTGTCGGCACTTCCCAAGTGCTACCATTTTAATTTAATTTAATGAGTGACTGTAGATAGCAATTGATTGAATCTCCGTCGCATATGATGAGCAAAATCACTATAGATAAATTCACATTCAGATGGCAGCGTTACAGAGATAGGCCTGTACTTTCTATATGCCAGAAATAACTACATTGTTGTCAGTTTTTAATCGTACCTACAATCGTACGTTATGGGCGGGCTCCTATAAAAGAATTATAATTTCGGAAATATTTATGAATGTGAAACGGAAAAATACTACATTTTTTTAATTATATAATTTTTCTGTTGGTATTTTAAAAATAAAAAGTTATATTTCGGAAATCTGGTCTTTTCGGAATTATATCTTCTGTTCAAAATTGTTTACAATTCGTGGAAATGAAATAATTATTTGTATAATCCGTTTTTGATCTTAATGTCCTTTTAATGACACACTTTCTCTACCTGCATTTACAGTTACAGACATTAAAAAATAATTTAGAATTAAAAAAATATACCTATTTATAAATTCAAAATTATTGTCTAATGCCAGCAATTATAAATTCAGGTAAATACTTGAGAGTCATTAAAAGAATTTTCAGTTGATATCAGACGTTTGTGTCGTGTCAGTGTCAAAATGGCCGCGAGTGTAATAAAATTCAAAAACGGTAATTTGTTAAATAGTGAATGCAAAAAAATAGTGTTAAATGTTTTTAACTATTTATCAAACAGTAATAATGATAAAAGTGTATCAACAATAGTGCGGGAAGTTTCTGCTATGACTGAGTCTCTGAGCGAACGATATTCCGATATAGAAGTGAAAGTAAAAATGGTCCACTCGTAACTCCTATAAGAAAAAAAAGAACCGGTTATTTGAATAGTCGTGAGAATAGATATGATGAAGCAACTCGGTCTAGAATAAGACAAGTAGTGCACGGTTTTTTTATGGACAATATTCCTCCATCCCTTGACGTAGTACTAGAAAAAATTAGCAAATGGAGCATCTTCCGAATTTTTCCAAGAGTACGTTGAGAAGACTATTGCACGACATAAGTTTTATATATGGCAAACAAGGTAGAAATTCAATATTAATAGAAAAACAAGAAATAGTCGCTTGGAGGCGTCACTATCTCCGGGAAATAAAGAAACTGAGGAACAAAGGAGCCAATATCATTTATATGGACGAATCATGGGTTAATACTAGAATAACCAATGGGCAAGTATGGCAAGATACAACAATAAAAAATAGCCGACAGGCTTTCGTAAATGGACTTACCACAGGTTTAAAAACTCCGACCGGAAAAGGACCAAGATTTGTTTTAGTCCATGCAGGAAACAAAGACGGATTTGTTGAAGGTGCTGACATCACTTTTCTTGCCAAAAAAGGTGCTGAAGATTACGATGAAGAGATGGACGGAGATCTATTTGAAAAATGGTTTGAAGAGATGTTAATACCGAATCTCCCAAAAAATAAAAAGAATGTCATTATCTCGGACAATGCATCTTATCACTCTAGGAAATTAAATTTTCCCAAACAATATTGGGTGAAACGTCAAATTAAGGAGTGGCTCTATGAAAAGGACATTTATTTTGAAGAAGATTACTTAAAAAATGAACTTCTGGAAACTGCTAATGTATTTAAAAATATTTATGACAAATACAAAATTGATTGTATTGGTGAAAAATACAGGAATCACAGTGACGAACAATGCCGCGTAGATGTACATATCTTAAGACTTCCGCCTTATCACTGCGAACTGAACCCAATAGAAATGGTGTGGAGTGAAGTGAAACGGTACGTGTCCTCTAAGAATTCAAGTTTCAAACAAAACGACGTTAAAACATTGATTTATGAAGGTTATGATAAAGTACAGAACAATGGACATTGGAAAAATTACGTCAACCATGTTATAAAATTGGAGAATAATTTTTGGACAGTAGACAACATTCAAGATGACATTGAACCTATTAGAATTTCATTAAACGATGACTCTGAAGGTGAACTAGATTATGAAAATGAAGATGATTGAAAATTGTTTTTCGGGGGTATTCTTTTCTCAGTAAAGGTAATATAATATTTAGTTGATCTGGTTGAAATGTAGCACACTTAAATAACTCATTAATCGACATAATTTCAAGTAGTTATATTAGACGTCATTATGCAAAAAATAAAGTTATGAACATTTAATAAATTAGTGCACAATTGAAGCCCCTAGAACACAAGGGGTGTAAGTGCCAAAAACAAAGTTTTGAAAAATCTTTGTTCAAAGTTCGATATAAATTTAAAAACCTAGGTAGCACTTTTTCAGTTTTCAGCATGTTTTCAATGACATGTAATTTTTGATGGTGTTATTGTTGTTAATGTAGAAAGTTTAAAGCCAAAAGTACGTGCCTGTTGTTAGATATCAGTTGCTAAGTGATAAGCAACTGCACTTACACCCTTGTGTTCTAGGGGCCTCAATTAGGGGTTTTTTGCAATTATCTCAGTCATTTGTTTATGTATTTTAATTCACAAACTAAAAAATTAAAAAACTTTTTAAGATCTGCAACATTTATTTGAAACATTTTTCCCTAAAATGCACGAGGAACAAAATAGGCAAAAAAATGATTTTTTCAAAAACTTCTTCTTTCTTTAAAAATAAACAAAGCAAAATTGGCTGTAATTCTTCAAGGAATTATCATCAGTTATCCCTTATCTACCGTTTAGAACATTAAAAAACCTGTAGAATATTTTTCATATTTTTTTCCCTATTAACTGCGGTATTATGTATAAAAGCATTTTAGGAATTATTACCATTTATTTCATTCACGAATTTTCTATTAACAACTTTAGCTTACCTAAACATATCTTAGTTTACCGTGAGTTTGGCCCTGCTTATTTTACAAAAGTAGCAAAACTTACAATGGCAGTAGAATTGGCAACGCTGTTATCCTATATCCGTACACTGCCATCTGAACGTGACTTTATCTATAGTACTGATAATAACGTATAAGTAAATTTTTTAAATTTGAAAAAAAAATTTTGGTGTCGATTGATTAATTTAGATATACATATTATATAAAATTCAAGATATTTTCAGTACTTACGACTAAGATAATGCTTTCAACTAATCCTCCTGCAACTTCATCAACCAATGTTGAATCTACCAAACCTGACTTATTAAAAATTAATATAGCCAAATCAAAAAATGTTATTACACCCGCAAATGCTAAAATCAGTAACGCCAACATAATTTTGCCTGTAATTTTATTAAAAGTTGCTACAGACTGATGCAAATCCTTTAGATAACCTTCAAATTGGTTTACAAACTGCTTAGATAGCATCTGGTTACTTTTCCCGAACACCTGTTCTTTAAGAATTGTGTTTAGTAAATTATATCTCGTCGATACTACAGCTGTAGTTGTCCAAATTAAAATAACAATCCCCAAAATTTGGTTCCATCCCAATATCCAAAAGACCACGAAAAATATAAAAGACGTTTTATCCACTTTATATGCCTCATCATTCCAAAATGTAAACCACTGAACTAAAAAATACATGAAACAAAAGAGTAGTATTTTAAATAAAAAACAGGCTGCATTGATTTTTTGAGGAAGTTTTCCATTCAGTTTGTCGATTAATTCGAAAAATAATTGCCAATTTTTTTGATCGTTTATGATACTGTATGCAAACACCACTATTAAAAAACAAAGGGCTAAAAGTAATACAAATGTCATCACCAAATCTGATGTTCCAATATCAATGTTATCGTCTAATGAATTGTTTTGGGATAGCATAGATTTGAGTCCCAATAGCAAAAACGCCATAATTGTCAATGCATAACATTTTAAAAACCAAGTGGGTGTTTCTGGCGGGCAAACTGCAAAACAACTTTCAATTTTATATATTACTTTTAAAAATTTAACATCACTTATGTGTAGGAATTTAAACATGTTGTATACTCGTCTTGAACAGTAGAAACATTACCAATAAATTGCTGCGTATTATTTAATTGAATTATAATCGTATTGATGTTTACATGCTAGATACTTATTTAATAAGCAAATATTATTTAGTACATTAACGTAATGAATTTATGTAGATAAAGTACCAAGCCTACTTATTTCTATTTTTTGATTATCTGATTCTTCTTGATTGATATGTTTTCCGATAGAATCAACGGTCTGCGCAAACCCATCACTAGTTAGAATAAATGCACTCTTAGATGCCCAGGGAAATAAGCATTTTTTCTTGACACTCGTCCGGCCAGGCAAACGACAGTTGTTTTAAGTAGTACGGACCTCTGTAACAAAAACCTATATGTTTCCTGCAGTCGATTTTTTGGACTTAATTAGTTATTAACAAATTAAGGTCAAAAAACGGAAAATTTTTGCTTTTTTCGTCTATCAGCAAAAAGTGAAGCAATTTAAACAAATTTTAGAAGAGAGGAAACTTATAAGTTATATAAAAACCTTCAAAATGGCGTTTTCTAAATGTTTCTATCCTTATTTGTTGCTTTGAAAGTTGCAAAATAAGTCAAAAATTTCGGTTTTATATAAGTGTTAATAACTTTTTTGAAAATAAACTTATAATATTTATATTTCATGCAATGATGTGTCTTGTAGTGCTTAAAATAGGGTTAAAATTTCAAAGTGATCGGTGCAATAGTTTAAAAGTTATTTTATTTGTTTATCCCAAATTAATATTTTTTGCAACAATATAAGTCAGAAATTTATACAGTTTTAGAAATTGTAAGGGTTGTTTCTGGTAGAAGAAGACTTGTTTTATTATTTACATTAAAAAAAAATTAAGAAAATTAATTTTAAATATTGCAAACTAATTTTGCAAAAACATGTCGATTTTTTGCTTATAAACAATTAGAATAACTTTTTAACCATTAACTTTAAAAATAATATTTTTACATATTTAAAAAGCTTGAATTTTTTTACAAATTTAAATAAAAAAAAGTTTGTCCTAAAATAATTTGGTACAAAGTTAGCCTCTTTTTTTATTTAATTCATAGCACCTTTGTTTATAACAATTAAGAAATCTAATTAGCGCTATTTGAAAGAATATACATTATAGTTTTAAACTATTAAATTTTAAAATTTTTGCCCTTTAATGGAATCATCCACAAAGCTTCAAAATGTATGTAAAATCCGTCGGCTTTGAAACTCTCGGGAGTTGAAGGGAGGGGGAAGGCGCTGTTAACTGTATCTCTGTTCCTTTTTTATATATTTCAACGTTTCTTTTTGAACTTGTATGTACTTTTTGCTTACATTACGAATATGGATTATTTCAATAAATAAATTGTCAAATAAACCACATAATTTGTTCAAAAACAATTTTTTTTAAATTTTTTTAGTAGTATTTAAGTTAAGCTTGAATGTAAAACAGAAGTACTTGTCATTTCCTATATTTTGGGGAATAAGCCACAATTTAAGTTTATAATAAGTTTATTTTTGACGTTTTGATTTCTAATTCGGAAATCTTCCTCAGAATACAGAACATTAATAAATTAATCAAATTTTGTTTTTGGTTACTTGGTAGAAAATTTGGTTGGAAAATTTTTCTGATAACTCTTCTGGGTGATTGATTGGGTGAGGAAGCTCAGTAGATCTGTTTTAGTAAAAATTACAAAAAAAAGTTATTGACAAAACTTGTAGACAGCTTTAAACTCGACATTTTAAAATTATTTACAATCTTACAGGGTGTTCTATAAAATGGTGGCAGACCAAACTTATGTTTTTTAAATGAAACACCCTGTATTTTATTTTGAATTTGAAATCTGCTTCACTTCCACATCACAACAATGTAAAGTTTTATTATGTTATACCGGGTATTTAAAAAGTTATAACCAATATTACCTGAAAATCGTATCAAGTTTAACTCCCTGTATAATTAAAAAGTAGTATAGGTCCATTGATCTCTTGCAACCATAATTTTTTAATAATTGTTAAAAATTATAAAACATATTCGTTTTCATAATATTCGTTAAATAAAATACATGGTAAGTCAAAATGCAAGTACATTATTTTCTTGCTAATTTTAAATAGAACACCCTGTAATTTATATCACTAACGGAAAGTACTAATATCGTACTTCAAATTTTATAGAGTACTCCCTATACATAAAGTTATTAGTTTTTTAGATATTTTTATTTTTCCATCAAAGTATAAATTTTGAAGATATTTTAACGTTTATCAATAATTATTGTGAGTTGACCATGATTGATTTGTCAGAAACTGACAGTTTGACATTATTGTTTATTAATTCAGTATTGGGGTACATCGTAAATTAGCAACAATTATTATTTAGCAATTCAATAATTTATTCAATTTAAATCAGCAATAATGAATTTTACTACTGATGAAATGATAGATAAATATGATCTGGATATTGGGGGAATGCAATAAAAATTCATTACTATCAGCTAAAACGGTTTCCTAGAGCGGCAACCTAGACAAGATACATTTGACAAATCGAAAGATCGATTTAACCGCACTGGTTCAGTGAATTATGAAAAACATGAACGAAAAAAAAACTAGTGTGACAGAGGACAACGAAATGAGTGTGTTGATGGCAGTTACAGAAAACCCACTCACAAATATAAGGAGTATTTCCAATAAGCAAGAACTTAGTTATTACTCTGTTCAAAACATTCTATCTAAAAACAAGATGCACCCATATCATATTCAAAAGCACCAAGAATGAAATGATGATGATTTTCAGAAACGAATAGTATTTTGTGAATGGGCCTTAAAAAAAAATTAATGAACAGAGATTTTTTTTGATTATATCATATTTGGTGATGAAGCTGCATTCCACTGAATCGGTTCTGTTAATAGGCATAAATAACTTTCAGTACTATTCAACAAGTAATCCATACCAAATAGTAACACATAGTCAAACAAGATAATCTTTAAATGTGTGGGGAAGTATCGTGGGTAACCATGTAGTAGGACCATATTTGTTTAAATATAACGTAAATGGTAAGATTTATTTAGATTTTATCGTACATCAGTTACCGATATTATTAGAAGAGGTTCCACTTAATATACGTGAACAAATGTGGTTTCTACATGGAGGTGCTTCTGCGTACCACAACGAATTAGTACGTGGTGAACTTAATGATCAGTTTGGTGAAAGATGGATCTTAAGAGGTGCCCAAGGTCACCAGAATTTAATAAAGTGGACTCATTTTTTTGGGATTACATTATGAACGATGTATATAAAATACCTTCAACAACAAGGGATATAAAAAATAGAATCTGAATTGCATTTCAAAATATTTCTTTACAAATGCTTAGTAATGTAAGTAACTCTTTCAATGACCGCTTTTAAGTATGCATAGATGTTTTGGGAGGTCATTTTGAACACCTTACTTAAGTATGATTAGTTAAAATTACAGTTGTTTTTTATTTTTTTATGTGTTGTTATTTTTTTTATTTTCTGTCGGTTATTTTTTATAAATTTTATTTGAAACAAATTGTTTCCTTTTCTGTGTCGTTATCTCGTTACTGAATTAAAAAACAATAATGTCAAACGGTCAGTTTCTGACAAATCAATCATGGCCAACTCCCAATACTATTCTAGAAAATTGATAACTTTAGGTATAGGGAGTATTCCATAAAATGTAAAGTATGATATTAGTACTTTTCGATAGTAAGTTAAAATAGAGGGTGTTCTATTTAAAATTATCAAGAAAATAATGTACTTGCATTTTGACTTACCCTGTATTTGAATTAACGTATATTATGAAAACGAATATGTTTTACAATTTTTAACAATTATTAAAAAACTATGGTTGCAATAGATCAATGGTCCTATACTCCTTTTTAATGATACAGGGAGTTAAACTTGATACGATTTTCAAGTAATATTGGTTATAACTTTTTCAATATCAGGTATAACATAATAAAACTTTACACTATTGTGATGTGGAAGTGAAGCAGATTTTAAATTTAAAATAAAATACAGGGTGTTTCATTAAAAAAAACATAAGTTTGGTCTGTCACATTCTTATAGAACACCCTGTAAGATTGTAACTAATTTTAAAATGTGGAGTTTTAAGTTGTCTACAATTTTTGTCAATAATTTTTTTTGTAATTTTTACTATAACAGATCTACTGAGTTTCCTCATACTAATCAATCACCCAAAAGAGTTATCAGAAAAATTTTCTACCAAGTAACCAAAAATAAAATTTGATTAATTTATTAATGTTCTGCATTCTGAGAAAGATTTCTTAAGTAGAAATCGAAACATCAAAAATAAACTTATTATAAACTTAAATTGTGGATTATTCCCCAAAATATAGGAAATGGCAAGTACTTCTGTTTTACATTCAAACTTAACTTAAATACTACTAAAAAAATAAAAAAAATTGTTTTTAAACAAATTAGGTGGTTTATTTGACAATTTATTTATTGAAATAATGCATATTCCTAATGTACGCAAAAAGTACATACAAGTTCAAAAAGAAACGTTGAAATAGATAAAAAAGGAACAGAGATACAGTTAACAGCGCCTTCCCCCTCCCTT